AAAGTCACAATTGCGAGATAAAAACTCGCAATTCTGACTTTTTCTCGCAATTGCGAGTTTATATCTCGCAATTCTGACTTTTTTCTCACAATTCTTACTTTTTTTCTCAGAATTGCGTGATATAAACTCACAATTGCGAGTTATAAAGTCAGAATTGTGAGATATAAAGTCACAATTGTGAGATAAACACTCGCAATTCTGACTTTTTTTTTCTCGCAATTGCGAGTTTATATCTCGCAATTCTGACTTTATATCTCACAATTTTGACTTTATAACTCGCAATTGTGAGTTTATATCACGCAATTCTGACTTTATAACACGCAATTGCGAGTTATAAAGTCAGAATTACGTGATTTAAACTTGCGAGTTTTTGATTTAAAATTGCGTGATTTAAAATTGCGAGTTACAAAGTCCTATATATATTTGGAATATATATATTTGTATATATATGTATGTATATAGTATATATATTTGGAAAACAAAATATTCTTAATTTTTTGAGCTATAATAAAAATATACGTGTGATCATTTGCAAAGAAATGAAAATTTCTAAGAAGTCGTTCTGGGGATACAAAATATAATTTTTAAAAATTTTTTTTTTTAGTAATAATAAAAAAAATTGTTAGAAAAAATAAAAATAATTGTAATGTTACATTTTATAAACTTAATGTATTGTCAATCCAGCCAAGTCACATACTAATAAAATCTTATTTTGACGTTTAGACCTTTGTTTTCACTAAAAATGTGTGCTTAAATAGATTATTGTAATGCAATCAGAAGGTAGGTATTCCATTTTAGCACAAATCCATTGAATTTAATGAGCATAAGCTGCTGTAGGAGGCAATTGAGCATCTGCAGGAAGAAGCAACTCGAGTTCCAGGTGAACTTTGCTGGTCTGAACAGAGAAAGTGACATGGGAACAGGTTGAGAGATGGTTATCTGGAGGTGGAGAACAATGAGGCCCTTTTTGCACCCTTATCTCCCTGGCCGTTCCTAATGCCTGTGAGCTACCTGCCGTAAACACACCTGTGTGACCGGTCACACCTGGACCAGCGTGGGATATGCTGATACGTGTTCGTACATTACCGGAATTCAGGAATTTGACCCATTCGAAGACTGTGTTTCAAATCATTTTCCCTTTCTAGATAAGTTGAGACTGATCCTATCAAGATTAATATGAATTTAGTTTTGAGGAAGGCAGGAATTTTCCAAATTCAATCACAGAGCTTTGGACAACCCTCAGTACCTCATCAAAAAACATTTCAGAAGGATATACAGCATTTGGGTTGTGAAGATTATTGCGGCAAATTCAAATTATGAGAAGGACACAACTCAGCAAACCCGACAGAAACGCTTTTGTTTGGCTAGCATTAGCACGGCTAGTAATTAAAGCATCAATCAACCACCATTGCTTCATTTACCCC